TCAGTGCTGGTGTGGGGTCAGCAATGGGTGTGGGGTCAGCACTGGGTGTGGGGTCAGCAGTGGGTGTGGGGTCAGTGCTAGTGTGGGGTCAGTACTGGTGTGGGGTCAGCACTGCTATGGGGTCAGCAGTGGGTGTGGGGTCAGCAATGGGTGTAGGGTCAGTGCTGCTGTGGGGTCAGTGCCACATGTGGGGTCAGCACTGGTGTGGGGTCAGTAAATCTGAAAGCCCTGGTTTGGGGTCGAGGGTTGGAGCCCTACCAGGGGCCCTACTGGGAGGCTCTTACCTACCTGGTTTTCTGGGAAATCCTATGGATGGATGGAAATATTTGGGTTTAAAACCATGAGGTGCAAGGAAAAATGTTCAGTGTGGCTTTGCTTTGCAATCCCTGGGAGCTTTGCAGCCCCCTCTGCAGCCCCCAACAAGGACTGGGCCCTAAACCTTCCCCCATGGAAAAAATGGGGGCGACTTTGGCTGAGGGGGGGCTCTGCAACCCCAGAGATTGGAACAAGGAGGGGTTTGGGGATGGGGTTTTAGCAGCCCTGATTTTGGTGTTCCACAGGGGCTGACATCTCTTTTCTTTGCCCAGTCTGGGATTGCTTTTCTCCTGGTCGTGGCTCAGAATTTCCCAGCCCCCCCCGTCCCAGAACATCCCCCTGCACCCACAAACATCAGGGGGAACAGGAACAGGCAGAGGATGTTCCAGGACACCCCGTTTTTGGGAGCTGGGAGTGACCAAACAGGGCAGAGGGAGAGAGGGGAATCAGTGGCAGGAACTTTGCAAACACAGCTTGGACTGAACCCACCCGTTCTCTGCCCAAGCACAACCCCCGGGAGCCGGGAAAACCAGCGGGAAAAGCCTCTTCAGGGGCTGGAAAACCAGAGGGAAAAGCCTCTCCAGGGGCTGGAAAACCAGCGGGAAAAGCCTCTCCAGGGGAGGTCCCTTCTCCCGCGAGGTCTCCCGGGGTGTTTTCTTTGCTCCAGTGCTGCCATCCAGTGGGAAAAACTCCCTGGCATGGGAAAGGTTGGAAAAGAGGACCTCGGGGACACCTCGGGGTGGCCTCGGCGATCTCCCTGCCAGGATTCTGTGTTTGGACCCCATCCTGATTCCAGCCGGGATGCGACGGGAAATGCGGGAACGGCTCTCGAGGGGTTTCTCCGGTACCTTTGTCCTCTCCCAAAAGGCAGCGAGGGGGCGGGAGAGGGGGAGGATGCACCGGGGTGAGCGAGGGGCGACAATCAGAGCCTGTCCCCAGAGGAGGAGGAGGAGGCTGCGGGACGAGCGGGCTCCCAGTGCTGGGGACACCCCGGTCCCGGTCCCAGCGCGACGCTCCCAGCGGGATATTCTGCAGAAAACCCAATCCCAGCGCGTGTTCAGCACCCACGGGGGCTTCCAGGAGGGGGCAAATCCCAAACGCGGGAGTCCGTGGGGCCGCCCGGGGAAGCGGAGCGGCTGTGGCACCACAAAGAGGCCGTTTGTTGTCCCGGTGGGCGGCAGAATTCCCGCAGAAAGGAGCTCTCAGTGGGAATAGTCACCAGTCCGAGCTCTCCGGGCACAAAGGGACAGTGTTTTCCTCCGCAGAAGGAGGGCTGGGGCGCTTTTCTTCCCGCACAGGAGCCACTTGAGAGGAATCGCGGTGTTATCCAGGCGGGATCGTGGCCGGAGATTTTCCTTCAAGGGAGAAAGCAGAAAAGATTTGTGTGTTTGGGAACGAAATCAAAGAATTCGGGGATTTCTTCGGGCTGAAGGCAGCAGCTGTTTTCCTCCCGCGGCTCCAGTTTCCAGGAACTCAGGGATTTTCCTGCAAAATCGAGGGGGAAAACCCCGACCTTTTTCTTTTCCCTTCGTGCCAAGGAGGAAATTTGTCCTGAGAACAAGCCCAGTGTGCAAACAAACTGCTGCTCTCTGCTCCGGGAAGCGCAAATTCTTTGCCACCCACTCAAAACCAGCCCGAAAATGACTCCTGGAGCAGCAATTCCCTGATAACCCCGAGCAGGAGGCAGAATCCTGGCAGGATCCGAGGCACGCATCTCGCCGGGGGTGGGTTTTGGAAGCATCCACCACTCCTGCGAGCTGGCAAAGGCCATTCCCCCCGGCTGCAAACCCACCCCGAGCTCCGGCCCCCGCTCGGGAGAAGGAAGGGGATGACGGGAGGTGTTGCAAAATAGGGGAGATCGGGATGTTTGGTGCCGGGAATCTGCTCCCCAGCTGCAAACAACCCCACTGAAGCTGAGAACTGCGCAGACAGCCCTAATGAACGTGCCCAGCGTGTTTAATTAGGTCACACTACCTATATTATCAGATCAGGGACGGTTTGGGTTGGAAGAGATCTTTAATTACTGTCCAAGAACTGCCCCAGAGGAAACATGAGGGGTGTGGACAAGCTGAGGATGGGAAAAGGGGATTTTTTTTCTTTTAGAGGTATCATATTGAAAGGTTTTTAAAGAGACTTTCCCTGTGGGTTTGGGGCAGTAAAACCACCCAGCAAAGCCGAGCAGCTCCAGGACAGGGAGACCTGGGATTGCCAGCACTAAGGAACTGCTCTTCCTGCTGGATGAAGCACTTGAGAGGGGGAATAGATCTCTGAGCGGTGGAGAAACGCCATCCCGAGGGAAAGCACAGCTCCAGAATTCCTGAGCAGAGCCAGGACGAGCTCGCAGCCCACGGGAATGAAGCATCGCTGGGGTGGGTGATGATGGGGCTGATTCCCCATCACCCTGCAGAGCAGGAGACCCCAAAACCTCCGTGCCCTGGAGGGGACGGGTCCGTGTCACCGCCGGCCCCGGCCCCGGGGGGTTGCCGGGAGAAAAGGGCTCGGGGGAGGCCGGAGCAGGGCGTGGGCAGTGCTGGAGCACTGGGGGGGGCGGGTTTTGACCCCTGTGGTGAAGGGCAAAGCCATCCCTTGTCCCCGGGGACCATGCCCCGATTCCCACCCTGTGCCCGCCCCTCCACCGGGATGCCCAGCCCGGTCTGTGGGCTCAGCTCCCTCCAGTTCTCCTGGGTGCCTCATTCCCGGTTCCTCCTGGCATCCTCATCTCCCGGGGCGCTCCTGGCTCCCCCATTGCCGGTGCCCCTCGCGACCGCCGTGCCCGCTGCTCCAGGGACCCCCGTGCCTGGCGCTGCTGATTCTTCTGCAGCCAGGTATTCCCAGCTCCCCCATTCCCGGCGCTCCGCATTCCCGGTTCTCCCCGCATCCCTGTACTCCCGGATCCCCCACCCCGGCTCCTCCTGCCTTCCTCGGCTCCCCCCTCCGCTCATTCCCGATGCTCCTGGGCACCCCATTCCCGGTTCTCCCGGTTCCCCGCCCCGCCCCGTGCCCCAGCGCCCCCGCTCCCGGGGAAAGTCTCCGGTGCCCGGCGGGTTCCAGGTGCTGCCCGGTTCTCTCCTCCTCCTCCTCCTTCTTCTCCTCCTCCTCCTCCTCTCCGCCCCGTCCCTCCTCCCCCGGGAAAGCGAAAGCTCGGCGGGCGGAAGCCGAGCCCTCCCCCCGGGCCGCGCCGGGGCCGCTCCGGGAACGCTCGGGGGTCGTTCCGGGACCGCTGTGGGGTCACCCCGGGGCCGCTGTGGGTTCACCCCGGGGCCGCTCCGCGCCGGGGCCACCATGGCTTCTTCCATCGGCAACTTCTTCCGACGGAGCCTCCGGCGCCCCGGGCGCAGAGGTGAGAGACGGGAGGGGCTCCGGGGGGTGCCGGGGTCGGGGTCACTGTCGAGGTCACTGTCAGGGTCACTGTCGGGTTACTCTCGGGGTCGGGACAGGTCCGTCCCCGGGACCGCGGGACCCGCCAGCGGAGCGAGGACGTTCCCGGGCAGCGCCGGGTGGGACAGACGGGACCGGTCCCTGCCCCGGCCCCGGCTCGGAGCCCTCCAGCCCGGCCCGTTCGCGCTGCCCGCGCACAGCCCAGCTCGGTCCGGCTGCTCCCGGGACTCCCCGCACCTCCCGGGGCGTACTCTGTCCTCGGGAGATCACCCCAGACCCGCAGTGCACCCCACCCCGGGGGATCAGCCCATCCCGAGGGGATTCAGTCCATCCCGGGGGGATTCAGTCCATCCCGGGGGGATTCAGTCCATCCCGAGGGGATTCAGTCCATCCCGAGGGGATTCAGTCCATCCTGAGGGGATTCAGTCCATCCCGGGGGGATTCAGTCCATCCCGGGGGGATTCAGTCCATCACGAGGGGATTCAGTCCATCCCGGGGGGATTCAGCCCATCCCGAGGGAATTCAGCCCATCCCGGGGGAATTCAGCCCATCCCGGGGGATCACCCTATTCTGGGAGATCAGCCCATCCCGGGAGGATTCACCCCATCCTGGGGGATCAGCCCATCCCAGGAGCCCACCCCGTCCCAGCTGAGCCCTCCCCAGCCCCGGGGATCTTTTCCCCCATCCCGGGGGCAGCCCCGCAGGTTCCCTCTCATCCCCCCCCCCCCCCCCCCCCCCCCCCCCCCCCCCCCCCCCCCCCCCAATGGCTCTGGGTACCGCCGAGGCAGTTCCCAGCTCAGCGGGAGAGGTTGGATAAAAAAGCTAAAGCTTTTTCCACATCCCCCCCACCCCTCCCCCACCCCACCCCCCTTCCAGCTCGGGAGACTTTGGCTCGGCACGGCCCGGGGACTGTTCCGGGAGGAAGGGAACGGGTTGTGCCACACTGGCACAAGGAAACCCCGGGGCAGCCTTTGCCCTCCCCGTGCCCGCAGGATGGAGGGGAGAAGATCCACAGTGGGGGGACCCGATCCCTGGCCCCAAACCCTCCCCCCCGAAACACCCCCGGCCAGTCCCTGGCCGGGGGTGTTTCGGGGGGAGGGTTTGGGGCCAGTGGGCTCCACCCCAATAGCCCCACACACCCCTACAGGCACCAAGGAGCCACCCCAGGATCCCCCCAACACCCCTTTATGTACCCGAGGACCCCCACCCCAAAACCCTGAAGGGCCCAGCCCAGGTGCCCTAGATATACCCCAGAGACCTCGGGGAGCAGAAAGACCCCCCAGGGACCCCATAAACACCCCAGGACACCCCCCCCTTCCCCTCCCCCAGGGACCCGAGTGGTGGTCCCCGAGTCGTCCCTGCAGGGGCTGTGTGTGACTCCGGTGATGGTGTTCTGTATTCCCGGGAATCCTGGGTCCGGGAAGCACCGGGGATCTCCCCTGCCACGTTCCGGCAGCGCAGCCCGGACATCCTCCGAGCTGGTTTTGCAGCCCAGGGACGGAGGGTTGCTGTCCCCGAGGGATTCGGGCTCTGCCGGGAGGGCTTTGCAGCCGGAGCCAGTGATCCAAACTTCTCCACGTGCCGGAATGACCGGCCCCTCCTCCCCCCGGAGGAGGGTTTGACTCGTTCGCTTGAAAACCCCGCGGCCAAAATGCAAATCCGGCCCTCATCCGGCGTTCCCTGAAATGCAGGACGGGACTGGAAAGGCAGGATTGAAACAGAGTCTCGTCCTGCCCCAGTGATGGGAAAACAACCGATGGCGTGTCCGGCCAGGACGGGGGACACCCGCAGCACCCCCAGGTGCTCCCTGGGGACCCCCAACAACCCCTGCCCGGCCCTGGAGGTGGGGTTGGACCAAAGGCATTGCTGGAGCATCCTGAGGAGGAGCAGGAACAGCAAAGCCCCTTTTGTCCCTCTGTTCCTGAAGCCTCTTCCCAGGAATGTGTCGAGGATCTCTGGGGAGGACAAACCAGGTGACTTCAGCCTTGGATGCTCCTGGGCTTCCCCTGCTGCCCAGGGAGCTCTTTGGGATGTATTCCACTTTGCCAAGAGCAAGGACTTTGCAGGTGGAGATGGAGCAGCCCCAGGGATTCCCGAGCTGGGAAAAGGTGTCTCAGATCCCTGGGAAGGAACATTCTGGGATGGGACGGTGTCACCTCCTCCCATCACCTCCCCATGATCTGGAGCAGAGGCTGGAGAGGTGTTTCCAGACTGAAGGATGGAGACATGGGGTGGGATGTCCACCAGCACTGCTGGAGGAGGAGGAGGCCACTCCAGGGAAGGGTGATGGGGCCAGCTGGTCACAGCCACGGCACGAGCTCTGGGGACGAACCACAAGGGCCACTTATTTCACCCTGTTTATTTTGCTGCCTGTTGTTCCCAAGAGCAGCTCCAGCTTTATCTCCTCCACCTCCTCGTGGTGGGCAGAGAGAGGCCAAGCCTGGGACAGTCGCTGTGCCTGGGACAGTCGCTGTGCCAAGAGCCAGGATAAAGGGAGTCACGAGCTGGGAGAGGGCAGAGCTGGGGCATGGCCTGGCAGCATTTAACTCCTCTCCTTCCCAGCCCTCACACATCCCTCCGGGATCATCTCTTGGAGACCCGGATGGGGCTCTTTTCCCTCTTGTTCCGGGTTCTCAGGGTGTGGCAGCTGACTCTGACCCTCCCCAACCGGCCCAGCCAGAACTGGGCTGGGATCTCGGGAATATTCCAGGCTGTGCTTTAGGGAAAACCCTGGAGCAGCTCAGCTGCAACCAGCAATTCCCAGGACTGAGGATTTCTGGCAGGGATTCATCCCCCTGGAGCCTCTGGAGGTGCTGGAACAAGACCTGGGCTCTTTGTTTGCTCTTTGTTTCCCCCAAGGGGACCCAACAAGCAGCTCCAAACACATTCCCGCCCCTCCCTGCGGATGTTCCAGCAGAGCCCTGGGCCATCCCGCCCTGGGCTGGGGCAAAGGGGGGCTGGGGGTGTCTGAGGGCACTTGGATTTTCCTGAAAAGACACAGAAAAGCCATTTCTCTCCCTGCTTTGTGTCCCCAGCTGTTCGGTCCTGGGGGCACCAGGTCCTGGCTGGCTCCAGCCCCTTTGGCCAGGCCGTGTGTGACTCTGCCCTCAGGACACCCCTCTCTTCTCACTTCCCTCTGATCTGATGTTTTGGTTGGGTTTTTTTTTGAGTGCAGAAGGAAAAGACGAGGCCTCTGCTGCAGAGAACAACCCCCCTCAGGTGCCCCAGGGGAAGGTGGGGGAGAGGAGCTCCATCCTCTGCTCTGGGCAGTTCTTCTTCGAGTACCTGGTGGTGGTGTCGCTCAAGAAGGTCTCAGAGGGACGTTACGAACCCAAAATCTCCTACCAGTTCCCAAAGGTATTCAGTGCCATGTTTCTGACCAGATCCAACCTTCCAAATTTAGAGGAAAAAAGGGGATGTTGTTCCCTCC